TTTGGGGGTGACTGTGTCCCCACACAGATTACTATAGAAGTTGATTTTGATTACAAATATACAATTAACTCTAGAATAGCTTATTTCAAGATGATTTTTTACCTGGAACATATTAAATAACCAATTACAAAGTGAACTTGTCAATTTAGAATTTAAGAATTTAAATACTTAATACAGCTGCCGTTACATATTGCGTATATTTAATTAATCTGCTCTATTTTTACTTCTACATTTTTTTTAATAAAAATTAAATAAAAAATTTTTGTTATAAATAGCCTTTTTAATCTACGTCAATTGATAAGTCTAACATTAAAAAATTGGGGTTTTAAAAGCCTAAAAGTGAAGCTCTTTAATGCTATTATAAACAGTTGCTATGGAATTTTTCATTTTAAGTCTGGGGGTTGACAACCGACCTTAGACAATATATTTTATATGGCATAAACATTTCTTTAGATTAAGAAAAATAACAAATGTAAGTAAATATTTCATTAACATACATTAGCTACAGTTTATACTTTTAGAATTGATTTACAAAACTTAATCAGTGACTAGTAAATAGGTGTCCCAGGAACCCTTAAGGACTTTGGAGAGGTTCTTCAAGAGATGGTTTAAGAGGTTCTCTATGAGATGCGAAGAATGACTGGAATTACATTAACTTTCAACAATAACTGTTTGATGGACATAACTAATATCGATACAAGTCAGAGTCCATCCGCTAATAGGTACAAACGAAGAAGGTACTCTTCTAAAAAGTCGGTTGTCAAAGAGAAGAAGTAAATAGACATTCTGAAAGGTCTTGTGATGCAAATACAAGTCCTCCAACTTCCATGGCATATTACTCCAACATATAAATGGACTTTTTATACTCGAAATCGTTACGGACCAAAGCATTATATTCTTCAAGACAGCGCCTAAAAAGGGCCTTAAACTCATACCAGAAACAGGGGATTTAAACTCATATTTCAAACTGCTATAAATACATAATTGCAAACAATTAACATGCGCCCCAAAGTTTATTGAAACGTTTTTTACAAAACAATTAAAATGATTATTTGTTAATTTATTAGTCACAAGACTACAACAGTAGACACGTTTTTTTGTATTTTAACAGCAGTTTGTGAAATTGCAGCCAAAATGCCAAAATACACATACAAAATTAAAAAATAAACAACAAAACGAACCGGTTAATTAAAATACAATTAAATTTTTTATAAATAAAATAGATTTGGTTTAAAAAAAAAACTTAATTACACTTAAATAAAATGAAAATAAATCAAAACGAAAAACAAATTGTAAAAACTAATATTACCGCATTCTATTTACAGGTGTTTAGCTTAAGGGAAATGTAAATTTGTTAAAATTATTTTGACAAAAAATATAAAATGTTATAAATAAAACCCAGAAATTTTAGCTAATTGTTGGTCTAGTGATATTGAACTTTTAAGTCATAAAAAGTGTTTTATTTCTTGCAAAGAGTTAATATAACAGATCGACTGTTTTATGGGCCAATTATTAACAGCTGAATTACAATTAAAACCACAAGCTCTGACAATTAATTTTGAAAAGAATAATTTGGTTTGCCGCTACAGAAGACAAGCCGAAATTTTAAAAATTCTTTTACAGCTCTCTTTCTTTCTTCTGATCCACAATTTTCCCGTTCAGCTTATAATATCTCGATTACAATTGTAATCACAACTTCTATGAACGAGTTTTAAAAAGTAAGATTTGTCCTGCATAGTCGAGACTACAATAGTCTATATATGAGACTAGTTAGTTACTTTGAAATGAAGATGTATATACCTAGACCTTTATCGGGCCTGTTGTGCGCTCCTTAACCAGTGCCACTGGTAGGAATCGAACCCACCACCTCTGGTCTAGCAGACTAGAACACTAACCATTAACCTACCGGAGTCACATAGTTTAGACTATAGTCTTGACTATATTTTAGCCTCTGTTGAGACTATAACTATAGTTAGTCTTTAGCGAGATCTACAGTTTACTCTCGATTATAGTCGAGACTATGGTTCATTCTATGATCGTGACAATAGTTTAGTATGTAGCCGAAACTATATGTTAATCTCATTTATAAACTATGGCTTAGTTTATAATCAAGTATATAGTCGAGACAATAGTTTAGTCTTTATTCAATACTATAGGTTAGACTTAAGACGAGACTATGGTTTAGTATGTAGTGTAGCCAATGGAAACAATAGTTTAGTCTTTAGTCGAGACTATTATTTTGTCCATAGTCGAAACTTTCACACCCAAACTATCCATAGTCGAAAGTGTATTTTATAGTTGAGATAATAGTTTACTCTTTATACCTACTAGACTAATCGTAGACATAGTAATCGAGCTATTTTGGCTTCAAATAGAGAGAACAAGAAGAGAGTTAAGTCTTTATTTAATAATGTATTAATTTCTATTGTTCAAGATTTAATTTCTTAAGAAATAACATTTGTAAATTACCCGGTAGGGATTTATCAATTTGTAATGTACATTAGCAAGTATCTTTAAGAAAAATTAAGTAAAATGATGACGTCAGATCATTTTCCAAGACTTTATTGATATTTTCTATAAGCATTATAATAACAATAACCAAAGTTGGAAATCATGACTCTGTAGCGCTCACTGCTAGTCGAAATGCAATTTTCGACATTTGCACACTTTGCCGCAAATCTCGAGATAAATTCTGTGAGATTACTTCTTACTCTAGACACCCTCCTGCAAAGGAAATTATATTTCCCACCACCACATATTACAAACAATTTATACCCCTTTGGATCATTGAACATATTATTGTTTTAATTACTCAATTTACAATATGAAATATTATCGTTATTTAAAAAAAGCGGAGAAAACAGATAATGGTCAAGTCAAACAAACTAATAAATAAACATTACACAGTAAACACAATACATATTGATAAAAAAAAAACAAAAAGAATTGTAAACATACAAAAAATTCCTGAAAAGACTAGTATAGACTTGCTAAACAAACACTTGAAATCAAATGACACTGATAAGAAAGCAATTGATATTAAAGGAATTAAATAAGAAATGTCTATAAACTCGAGCACAACTCATTACCAGAAAAACATTCAAACAAATGAAGTTACAAAACCTTTACAAGATTATTATCTGTTTTTTTTTTTATTTTAAACTTAAAAGGGCGCCAAACTAATGCCCTCTACAACTCACCCATTTTATAAAAGATTATTTAACGTTTTACTGAAAACAATTTTAAGACGAAAAAAGATTTAAATAAAAAAGCGGAAGCGGATTTTTTGTAGTTGACTCTACAAAGTGTTAACGGCAACTAAATGGATGACTATGAAATAGAAATTAACGTATTGGTGGGTAGAAAAAGCAACAAACAATCACAAGCTAACAAATATTTATTTATTGTGCTTGGGTTTTATATTTTTATTATTATTTTTGCACATTCTTAGAATATGATTAAAGATTACAAACCTCCTCCTAATGTCAATAAAACAAAAAAAAAAACGACAAAAGTTCGAAGAGGGGAAATTATTATTATTAACTTGTTTATCAACAATTAATTACGTAAATTCTACATTTTCTTCTAATTTTATTTTTTTTATTAATTTATTTATTTTCTAATTTCAAAACAAATACAAAGTGAAAAAGCATTTTTTCAAATCGCGTGTATAAAATTTTGAAATTTACAACAGATGCAATTTTTTTAGTGTTAACAAATTGCCTCTACTTTTGTTTCTGTTCTGAACAACAAATCAAAAGAGTAAAATACAAAAATAACAAAAATCGTAATAGAAAAGAGCTTTTAGCTTACAAATACAAAATTGTTTTGTTGTTATTACATAATAATGTAAATATACGAGTAATGTGTTTGGGGTTAGACCTAACCTTTCTTCTACCAATACAAATTGTACACACCGCCACCTCCATTACCACCCAAATCAACCCCTCAAATACCCTGTTTAGCCAGTTCCTCATACTATGACGTTAATATTTTACTGGTTTATTTTTAGCTGGGATCCTACCCATTAAATTGTGTATTCCATACTTTGTTTTGCTTCTGTTACTGTAGTACGTGTAGTAATAGTATGTATTCGTAATGTACTTTTTATAAATATTTTGTTGTTTTTGTGGACGAGCCTTCTTTTTAGTGTTAGCTGATTGGCTGTGCTACTTGTTTTGTTCATAGTTTTGAAATAAAATCAAATGTTTAGAACTTTTGCGCGTAAATATTACCAGATTAATGGGAAAATAAACTTGAGGAAAGAATTTTGCCGTCCTAGCAGCTCCTAGTTATATCGGATTAGAAGATTCCAAGTTACTTTAACTTTCGAACAGCAAGTTCGATATGCTTTTTGCTTTTATTAAGGATCCAACTGGCGATTACTATTGGTAAAACTTCGTTGCTAAGAAGATTAATAATTTTATGACATTTTTAGACATAAACCGATAGCCGACTTCGAAATTTTTCGATAAAAACTGTATTATAGAACCCTATAACTGACTATTTGTATAAATTCCCAAAAATATTATAATTCCCACATCATAGGTACACATATTTTAATAAACTGGCAACATTTTCAGCCAATCAATCACATTAATGGTATCTATAACAAAATCCTATTCCAATAAGAATTTTTATAAAGTAAATGATTTTCTTTTAAAAGCAAAATAAGAAATTTGTTGCAGACAAATACAAAGTACAAAAACCAAAAATAAATTAAGTATAAACAAAAATCAATATGCAAAAGTTTACGAATTATGCAAAAGTTTATTAACCTTGACATTCATAGAAAAAAAAAAAAACAACAAAATAAATGCTTTACTTAACTCAATGAAGATGATGCAGTCTAGTATTTTTGCTAAACAAAAACAAAAATGCGCAAAAATAAAAAGCGTGCAAATTTAAGACAAATGTATACATATTGTATAAATTAATTATATTTCAGAACACAATAATAACAAAATAAATAAAACGTAAATTTAAAATAACCCACTCACCTGATTATAAAGATGTATAGATGATTTTAATATGACGTTTTGCCTGAAGCTGTAAGTTTTGCTATTATCAGGCAAGTTTTTATAATTTATTTAAAATATTTTATCGCTTACAGAAAAAAAAAGTATATTTTATTTCATTTCACTATCTGCTAGTATGAATATTAAATACAACGCCGAGTTACACACTCACAAACATTTATTCAGTCATTCATTCAGTTTCTCAACTATTTATATTTGTTTTTGTTTATCATTTGATTTTATTTATTTATATATACATACTACAAAAATTATATGTACGACGTGTTTCATTGAAAGACGAGCCCACTTTTTGCTGTCTATATGTAAAGATTGTTGTTGCTGTTTTTGCTACTTTTACCGTTAGCTCGCTAATTTGAGGTCACGTTTTTACCAGCCAAATTGATTTCACAATTTTGAAGAAAATTTATCAACTTTTCATAACTTTTTATATTTTTGACTTATAATAGCACTTTACAACACTTTTTAACAATGAATTTTATTAAAATTATTTAATTTCCAATAAATTTAATGCAGCACGTTTCCCCGAACTAATTTTAATAATCGCACATGATTTAATATGAACAGCTGTTTTCAGATACCAGCGCCGACAAGAATTGACGCCTTTGGATAGTACTAAAAGTCAACTGCAGCTTTTCAGCGTTACTTTTGTGTAGTTTATTCACATATCATCTTTTTAATAATAATTAACAGAATTCAATTAATTCAAATTTTATGCTCATATTATTACATGATTGACGAGGATTTCTAGGGTAGTTTTGTACTAAACTTTTTTAATTTTAAAGACGTTTTACAAACAAATTAGTTCCATTATTTATTTGTGAGAGCTTTTGCTGTACGATGAAAAAAATCGAATTTTAAAATATTTGGCTCACCCTGTGCTCGTAGGGTGAGGTTGCCAATATAATTATATTTCGTTGTTACCAGATTAATGTTATTTTTATTTGAAAATCGCCTGTTATAAAAATTTGTTTAAAAGTTGAAATAAAAAAAAAAACAATTTCTGAAAAATCTTTATTTAAAGCAATGTTGCACAGTATCAAAACGTTTAAAATACATTGACTTTTGATGTATGATTTTTTTTGTATTTTAATCAAATTTTCAAATGGCAAAAACTTTAAAATTTTTTTTGGATATATTTTCTATAAAATTAAAAAAATCTCAAAATTGTATATCGATAAATGTTCTTAAAAAACGGTAACAAACTATGTACCGATTTTTTAAAAGAATATACGGTAGGACCTTGATTATCCGTGATTCGATTCGATGGAAAATAAATCTTTTTGCATCGACTTTTATTTTAGATTGACTTAAATTTTTCTGCATCGTTTAACCGTGATTGCCTCTATGATTATAAACAAAATTCTATTATTTTTTAACAACCATGCACAATTAGAACAAATCGAAAAGGGAAATTCTGAAAATACGAAATTGAAAAATAAAGGACAAACAACATTGTATGATTATTTTTAGAAGTTACATAACATGAAATCCATATCTACTGTTTTCTGAGAAAATTATTTTTTTTTTTTATATTTTTGAAACATGTATGAATATAAAGTTATTGAATTATTTAGTTTTTATATAAATATGTACATATTCATTTATTAATTAATAAAAATATATATTAAAAAAGTAGCCAACATTGGCACTCAATTAATCGGGAAAATCGATTATATAGAATGACTCCGGTCCCGACGGAAAATGGAGATTCCACTGTAGTATGTTTGACGTAGTAATGAGCTAAAAATCCCAGATCGGTAGGTCCAGTTTTATGGAGACTAGCCAAAATAATGGAACGATTTCAACAATTTTGGCTTTGTCCTTGAGCCGAAAAACACATATGGTCTAAATTTCATCAAAATACCTTGAAAATTACGCACAAGGTTTACATGGACATCCAGCCGGATATACGGACATTTTAATAGACTGAAAAAGTGATTCATAGTGGACCAGTACTTTAAGGTTAGCGTATTACCAATATGTTTGTGCATTACAAATTTTTCTTCAAAGATTTCATTAAAGATTTTTAAAACTACTATAAAACCTAAACTTGTTAAATTTTATTAAAATTTGTTTTAAAATCTTTCTTTTTATAATTTTGATATTTTTTTAATATTCATAAAAAACCTATAATATTTTTTTTAAAATTAATAACAAATTATTAATTTTGTAATTCCCCTTATTTGCTATGTATTTCGACACTCTAATCTCAAATTAGCAACTTTCCTTGTTGTTCTATATTTTTATGATTATTATCTGAGCAGTGTGGCAACCTTTGTATTTTCTATATTCCTTTTCCACTGCCATTCGCTTCAATCAGTTCTTCGAGAATTGTTGGCGAGAGAAAAAGTCATCGGAAAGATACGGATAGATTTTAATGGAGTGTTGTTAATTAAAGTATAAAAAAAAGTATTTTATATATTGAATAAATTTAATTAATTTAAAACGTTATACTTATTAGCCACTACGCAATGAATAAAATTTAAAGAAATAATAAAAAAGATTTTCTTATTTAAAAGAAAAATAAATGTAAACGTGTTTATAGAAGAAAAATAGAAATTATAACTAATAAAAGTTAAATTAACAAAAAAAAATTGTTTAGTGTGTGATAGTGTTGGTGTTTTCAGTTAAATACATTCACTAAATTAGTTAATACAATTAGAGCTTTTTATGGTTAATAAATAACAAAAAAAAAAAGAAAGAAGAAAAAACGACAAATTTCACCATTTGCCAAAAAAATATGAAATTAGATATTTTGGCAAAATTTTTTTCTATTTATATGAATTTCTATTTTGTGTTTATTGTTTGGAATTTTTTTTTTATATTTTCCTTGAGTTGTAAAAATAAAAATGAATGCATTCAAAATTAAATAATTTGTTTTGTTAAATGAATACGTGAGTGTTTGTGTGTGTGTATGCTAGATTAGAGAGAATGTAAATAGCAGTTTTTTGCTGTCAAAAACGTCTAATAAGAAGAAGATGCTAATAATGATGTTTACAATTATAATGATGCTGTAATCATCATCATTTCATACCAGCAGAAAAAATTTTCAGATAAATTAAAGAAATAAAAAAGAATAAATTTATACAATTGTTGTTGCTTTTGTGGAGTGTAAAAAGTTTATAATAAATTTAATGTTTATATTTTTTTTGCATTCATTTAAATTATTGATTGTGTTGTTTTTGTAATAGCAATTTCTTGTTTTTTTCAAAAACCTGTAATTTATTTGTGTTTTTGTGTGTAAATTTAAAGCTTGTTTGGGGCTTTCTATTCTTAATTTATAAAAACAAAAAAAACTATAAAATTTTTTCAACAAAACTAAACCAGAGAATACAAAATTCATTCAAGGTGAGTTCAAAACAAAATAAAAATTTTGCAACAACAAATTGGTTTTCTTCTTTGTTTTTGTATTTTGCATTTTCTTAGTATTAAGTTTAAAATTTAGTTTAATTTTTTTCCCCAGTTTCTTTTATGTTTTCAAATGTAACCCACATTTTTACGTTTATAATCGTTCAGTTGGAAATTTTATTAATTTAACCACAAAATTAAACTACTTTCCTTATTGTCTTTTTAAAGTCTTTAAACTGAAATACACAATTTGTTTTAGTTTTGTTTTTAATTTTACTTTAACGCGGCCATTAAAAAAGGCCAACATACTAAAGAAGAAATCCCGCAGATCAAATACATTCTTTAAACAATGTTAAACCATTTAGTACAAAGGTACTTTTTAAATGTACCATTCGAACAATCGACTCTTTTTGGAAAAAAGTTGAGAATTAGAAGTCAACTATTTGTCCTGAAAAAGTCAATAGATAGGGCTCCCTAAAAAGACTTTTACAAACGTCAAAGACGAACATTTTATCTAAAATCGATGTAAATCGACTATCTTGTATGAAAAGTTCGAAAAATTGTCTGCAATTGAAAATTGCAAAAAAAGTCTTTAAAACTTTTCATAAGCTTCAAAAAGTCGATAACTCGCTTATTTTCAACTATAGCACCTTACATTTCGATTAATTCTAACATTATCTAATACAATTTTTATTAAAAAGTAGCAAAACCTGAAAAAAGTACTCTTTTTCCCATTTCCACTTTTTTAATACTCATCTCTATTCTAAAAGCCATTAAAAAGGTAAACACAAAAATACAACAACAATAACAAGAGTAACAACAAATACACTGACATTTCTTAACAGGTTTTTTTATTATTGTTATTATTTTGTTTTATTCTACATTCTTTTACTTTTTTCTCAATTTTTTTTGTTTACTTTTTAATTATGTTATTGCTGTTGTTGCTTTTTGTTATGGTTTTTGTTGCCGTTGTTGTTTTTTAACACTTTTGTGATTTTGTCATTATGTAGTATATGTGTATCTTTTGTATTGTCATCTTTCTTACGATTTCTCGATACATTTTTTTTAATGGATAGAAATTTCTTTTCTTTTTTTTATATTTATTATTCTTGGTTAAAAATTAAAAAGCTTCTTTAGAGGAAAAATAAACCATTAATGTTTTCTTTTATTAAAATATAAAAAATAAGTAGGTATAATATTTTTGCTTAAATTCTACTTTAAAATTTTAAAGAATGTTGCCAATGTAGCAGGATTTTCAAGGATAATAAAGTGCTAAGTTTTTTAAGTTAACATTAAATATGCCAATGCCAATATTTTTTGCTGCTTTTTGATCTTCAATTAGTACTTTTTGAGTTTTCTATAAAATTGAAACTAGAAATACAAAATTATAATCTGGAGTTAAGGGCCCTTCAGACCATCACACTCTACGCACGATAAGCCTAACGAAAAAGTAAAATGAAATTCTATCCGTATGACTAAAAAGAGAATAAAAGTCGTATGATTTATATTTTTTGTGTTTTCACGATTTGTATAAAACAATAACAAAGTTAGATGAAAACAGCTGTTTCACTTTTTTTGTATGTGTTTACATAAAAATACATCTCTGATCTAATGCGAATTGCTTGTTTTTTGAATCATTTCAAAAAATGAAGAGAGCTATACGACTGTCAAGTTTTCCATTCGTATTTTCGCTACATATTGCGTTTAGACGATCCCATCCATTCACTTCTACACAATATTTTGACAGATCATATTACTTGTGTTCTTGTGAAGGGAGCTTAAGTAAGAACCTATAAAAGTAGAGTTTTTGTTTGTTTTTCGTTTTACAAAATGTACTTTTTAAATTTTCTATAGTATTGAGCCTAGAAATATAAAATTAAACACGGAAAGTGTATGGAAATCTGTAGGGAAGGAATTTTTTATTCGATTTCGGTCTTCAACTCCTGATGGAATGTTTAAAAGGGAAAGATTTGGTACTTTTTCGTATTTCAACTGGAATATTTTTAATATTAAATATAAAAACGTAATGATTGACTTAAAATCTATAAAAGAGAATTTTTGTAACTTTTTCGATCTTCATTTTGAGCCTTTTGAATTTATTGTAAAAATGTTTAATCCTGATAAACTATTAAGGACTTAGAATCAAGAAGTATTATAATCTTTAAAAGGATTGTATAACAAGGTAAACATTCAATCGGGGACCCAAAGGGTCCAATGTAAAAGAA